AAACTGCCGGTCACTAGGAAGAAAAGAAACAAACCTAGAACTCCCGGTCAGTAGGAAGAAAAGAAACAAACCTAGAACTCCCGGTCAGTAGGAAGAAAAGAAACAAACCTAGAACTCCCGGTCAGTAGGAAGAAAAGAAACAAACCTAAAACTCCCGGTCAGTAGGAAGAAAAGAAACAAACCGAGAACTCTCAGTCACTAGGAAGAAAAGACACAAACCTAGAACTCTCGGTCACTAGGAAGAAAAGACACAAACCTAGAACTCTCGGTCACTAGGAAGAAAATAAACAAACCTAGAACTCCTGGTCAGTAGGAAGAAAAGACACAAACCTAGAACTTCTGGTCACTAGGAAGAAAAGACACAAACCTAGAACTTCTGGTCACACAATAATAAACTGAGAAGAACTTTTCCCTCCTTGTCAGATATTTTTGTAAAGAATATGAAAATACGTAGTTCATCTCATATAGCACCTAGTGACCTTGTAAAAGTTATTCTATTAATTTCTTAAAAGAACTTGAAGTGTTTCTTATATGGTACAACTTTCAGAATTATTAACATTCTTCTTATACAAAGTGTTGAGTATATTGAAACATTTTTTGAAGCCTCATCACGTCATTACAGTCCATGCTTTTCCTGATGATCATGCATCTTCACAATACATATGCAGCATAGTTCTGTTTGTAAAAATACTTTTTTCTAAAGCTGTTGTTATTTTAAAACACAACTCCTCCCTGCAATCTTTTCACAATCCATCTAATGTATAAGAATGATGGTTTTCCAGCACCCATTTCAAGTCTGATCACATATAAATCCATAAGCCAGTTTGTCATAATGTGGAATAGCATGAATATCCATCATTCTCCAGCTGCTTTAAGCATGTGATGGTTGAACAGGTATGACTTGTCAATTTTTCAGATGGACATCCTTCTTTATTATGTTGCACATTGTTGCCTGGTCATGTGGATTTTCACCTGTTACAAGATACATCTTGTTACAAGTCTGTTTATGGTCAGTCCTAGTATTCCAAGTTTATCTCTTTAACTTTGTTTTCCACTGCCATTAAGTACAAGAGAGGTTCTGTCTTAGAAATTCTAGATCCCATATCTGAATGCATCTTTATGAACGAAGTTAATATTTTGCATCGTAAAGAGGTGTTACATACCCTTCCAAAAAAGCAATTAATTTTAAGTAGCATCACTATCTAGAAAATACCAAAATGTAGTTCCGATACATTCTGTTCCAGCATCTTTATACTGGCTATGGTTGTCATGCAGGTTCAAACTAATTTTAATATAATTTGCTGGATGTTACAGAATTAATGTGGTTGTCATATTATGTACCCTTTACTTTCACATGAATGTTATTAATAAATATTTGATTCTTTATAACCTACTGACATCAGCCAATCTATTCAATGAAATGTTTTAGTGGTTCCAGCTGTTGTGAAATTTTAATAAAAATACCCATTTAACATGGATTGAATCATGTTAGTTAAAAAGTGATGAGAGTTTATTAGTATTTTACACAAAAACAATGGAAAATCTAGGATACAATTAACAGCTATTAAGCAGCTAGGGAAGTACTATTAGATACGGCCGGCAAACTTGAACTTCCAGAACAGTCAAAAATTTGAACTTAAAAGGAATTTCCAAAAAGCTTCTTCCACATCATTCTTCTTTTGGAGTTTACTTTCTTTAAATAGTTAAAATCATATGAAGTATATTATTTCTGAAAGAACTAAAGTTTCAAATAGAAACATATTTCAACATAGAATTAAATACTTCTTCATTGCTTTGTTTGAAAAAAAAAAAGTTTGTATGTTAAATTATTTAAAAAACCTGATTTCTAAGAATTGTAACAGTGAATTACATAATAAATGATCAATTTTGTTCTAATCAGTGTGGTAGGTTTTTTTTAAATATACTAGGTTATGTTATAATTTATCTATTTTCTTGCTAGGTAAATAACATATCTGGAAAAAATTGGAAGGGGGGGGGGAGCCATCATTTCATGGATTATCTTATGGTCCTGTACCAAAACACTATTTGAAACCAGTGATTTAAGGTTATTTTAATAGATGAAATCTATAAGAATTATATTATGGTGGTACCATACTGGACATTGTACCATCCATTGCAAAAATGGCATTTTTAATTTGAGAATCTGCTCTAACTTCAACACTGCATCTTTGGGCTTTACTATGCTGTTAGTCTCACAAAATATTGAAACTAATATTTCTTATGTATGATTCAAATACACCTTTTTGAAGATAATTGTACTATTTTGCTCTTTTTTTTATGATTCCCCGTCAATGCCGTAATCAACCGTTGAATCTCCAGTTCAGCTGGTATGTTTCAAATCGATTGGAATATCTTCCCTCATCCGACCAGGACCCATGATTTAGTTTAATCACTACTCTTAAACCACCACATCTAGAATTGATGTGGATCAAGTAAAGTAAAACAATGTAACAAAGATACACGCTTGAAATGGATGCCAAGCTGGCTCGTGTGGCAGGTGTTAATTTATCTGTTTAACGTTAAGGAAATTGAAAACCTAAGATTACAAGTTAACGTTCATAAATATAGTATTAGAAATTGAGCCCTTGAATTTACTAGTAATGATTTTATAATTATTAAAAATCAAGAGAAATAATAGGTGTCATTTTTAAAGCTTTGCTATTCCGATTTGGTAAAAACATTATTCCGTGTATATGTTTTCTCAGCTTCAGATACAGCGTTAGGTTGTCTGAGCACATTTTTTTTTCTCTCCCAAATTGATGTAATTTGCTATTACAAAAGTATTTTTTTTGTGTCTAATGGCTTGATTTATAACAAATTAATAGGGTTATTGAGTGACCAAAGCTTATAAATTTAAGTACAATAAAAAAGGCTGATAGATAAGATGTTTTGTTCCTTATAAAACATTCATCATGTTGTAATAACAGTCATGTCAATAAATTCATGGAGCAGAATTTGAATAGTAAATATTGAAACACAAGTTATATAACTGAATAGCAGTGTATGTAGTTCACCTTTGTAATTGAAAAGGTGATTTTAAACTGGTGTATCATAAACAAACTTTTGGGCTGCATGCCATTTAGACAGTTTCTCTTCTACAGTACTGAACCTAAATTTAGTGAAAGTTTTTATAAATCACATTTATAGGATTGTACACAGTTATTCTTTGTTAAACAAAAAATAAGTGGTGTTAATGAATTGAACAGATGCTTTATTGATAGGAGTATCAGTATAATGTTGGATGTGCCAAAAAAAACAGAGTTAAAGAAGTTACCTTGTACTGGGCAACAACAATGAGAAAAAAAATTTTACCCCCTGGGCACATATTAGATGTGTGTTTAAATTCATTCTATGAATAAACAGTTTACTTCATCGAACAATGTCCTAAAATATGCGGTCACTTGTTATCCATAAAATCACACATCTTTGTTGTGTAGGCTCCAGTACAAGGTGACTGTCTACCTGTAGAAAAGTACACTTTTATAAAATCAGAACTTGTCAAGCATTGCATAGTATCTTGGACAAAATATAATGTTACTGTGATTATAGACAACTCTGGAGCTGTAGATAAGAAGCAAGTAAGAGTCTGATGATTGTAAATGTTAAAGCAGTAGAATTTGATGCCATGACTTCTCAAACAGTAAGCTGACTATAGTTTTAATTTACTCTCCTAATTATTGAAAAAATAAAACTTCAGTGGGACTTGCCAAGAAAAACTCTGGCTGAAAATTTAAAAAAAAAGAAACTTTTAAATGTCTTGGGGTTAAAAAGTTAATCAAAGCCTACATAATGCTGACACAGTGATGTTTATTAAACCACACACAAACACACAAAAAAAAACTATTCCCAAGGCAAGACATCACCAGGATGATCTTGCTATACAATGAAATGTACAAAAAAAAAAAATTAATGGTATCACACACAGGTTGCTGAAATTGTTCTTACTTGACAGAAGGCACAGAAAAAACACCAAGCGCATAATCAAATGATACAATAGTTTTGTATTATACGTGATTTTAAACTATTTGACTGCCAAGTGCTATAACAAGTAATAGATATTTCTGGAGAAAAAAGGATTTTTACACCAGGTAAATTCTTCCTTCCAAAAAACACAAATAAAGAGCTGTGTTCACGTTTATTAGATAACAAAACAGTTCACCCTATCTGGTTTGTAAAATAAGTGCTTTACAATAAATCATCACCCTCATTCTGTGCCTTGTGAACACAATGCGATATTAAATGCAATTAGTTCATAAAACAAGAGCACAAAACATTTAACAACCTTTAAGAAATTATAGTTAAAGACTAACAAATAGTACCCGATCATTTACTCATAAGTCAGGGCTTTAAAAGTTCCTCCCCAGATGCTTTTTACAAGGAAATGCTATCTTATAAATATTTCACATGGAAAAGATTCATGTCAAATGACAAAATTACAATTAAAAAAAATTCCAAATGTTTCACTAAAAAACACAAATAAAAACGAAAACTATTAACTTTTAATTCTTGCATTTAAAATACTGCTAACAGAAACTTCATCACATAAATTTGTTTCTACAAAGTTGTACATGTATGTTAAATCTACTTTACAAGATCTGTTGACAAGATCATTCTTCTGTTCCATAAGCTAGGCCTAATATATATATAAACACAACTTACTAGTGTTTGTTTAGTAATCTTTACTACTGTTTGTCACAAAACCAACCTGTTCTTGTACAAATTGGAAAGTACTCATACAAATTTACACCATAATATACATCTATATATACACTCCTGTAATATACCAACCTCCCGGAAACATAATCACTTCTATTTTTTAATGAAGGGCTAAAGACTATGAAACAGTGTTCCCTAATTTACTGCATTTCTTCTGGTGGATCTACAGTTATAAATAACGTTTGTAATTTTATTCTATGTAGCACACACTTTCCTGCATTACTTGTAAGAAATTGAGAAATACCCCTCCAAAAAATACATAAAGTGTTTAAACACCAACACTCAGCTTTACTAACAAAGATGCCAGAAAGAATACTGATGGTTTATGTTAAAACAAGAAAATAGATTCAAAGTAGCAAAAACTCAATCTTTACAAGACATATATAAACTAAAATAAAAAAAACGGTTACTCAAACATAGCACAAGCTTAATATACATTATCTCATAAAAATAGATCTCTCTACTTAACATATTTTATAATCTCTCCTTCCCATCATTTGACTAACTTTAGATTTGTTTTTTTTTGTACAATGCATTGTAATCAAACACATGATGACCATGAAAATAAAACTATCTAACCAGATATAGAAATGTGACTTCAATCTCTATTTCTGCAGAGTATTTAGTGTACTTTTATCACTACAGATAACAAACAATGCAGCTAAGGAACAACCGATTTGTATCACAGATTTTAGGTTCAGTACCTGAACACATAACAAAAGTAACACTAGAACAACTATACAAATGTCACTACAATTATTAGAATATTAAAGTTTAACTGACATACACTGTAGCAAGATTACCTTAACTCACATGTAGAAGCAGCTCAAAACAGTAGAATAGACCATACAGTTATCTAGACTACAGGTAATAAAAGTACACCACATGGTTTATTGATCAATTTATATTCAGCACAATAAATCCTCAACACAATCAGTATCAGAGAATGACAACAAGGAAACAATCCTTTACTTTGTGTTATCACAAACACCTTAATACTTTGTAACAGAAATGTCACCTCACAAGACATAAATTTACAGCACAATTTGTGGCACCAGAAGAAACATACACCTCAGATTATTAAGATTTAAAATAATATATCTAAGAGATTCATTTAGTTACTTATTTCTAGGTTGTTGTAAAAATGAAAAAAGATATACAAAGTTGGTTTCCCGATGTCATTGTGACATGTAAATAAAGAAAAGTAATTTAGATAAGATTCATACAGAACATTTACTTCATACCATTATGAGAAAACACAAAAATTAGATAACAGGTTCACACAACAAGTTTGTATGTTAGGGTGACACTAAAAAATATGTAACATCAGTTAACAGGTTAACACAGAATAATTACTTCCTGTTGTTTGTATGACATTTACACTGAGACAATAAAAGTAACTTATATAACAGATTCACACCAAACAGTTACTCATTAGCATTACAATGATACTTAAGTTGAGAAAATACAATATAGATAACAGATTCGTAAAGAACATTTAGTTCATAGCATTGGGATGACATTTAGGTTGGGAAAATTAAAGAGTAGTGTATATAACTGTCACTTCCTAGTTTTAGTATAGCATTCAGGTTGAGAAAATAAAAGTAACCAATAGAAGGTTCTCACCCAAAACATCTACTTCGTAGCATTAAGATGACACTGAAGTTAAGGAAGTAAAAGTAATTTAAATAATAGATTCACACATGTACTTCATAGCATTAGAATGACACTTAAATTGAGAAAATAAAAGTAATTTAGATAACAGATTCACACAAAACATGTACTTCACAGCATTACGATGACATTCAGGTTGAGAAAATAAAATATAATGTAGGTAACAGATTCACACAGATCAATTTTATTTTCTGGTTTTAATATGAGAAAGGCTGAGAAAATATAAATAATGTAGATAATAGATCCACAGAGAATATTTGTATTAGTATGACACTTCAGTTGAGAAGGTAAAAGTAATGAGTGTATAAAATCCACAGAGAATTTTTGTATTATCTGGTGCTAGTGTGACAACTTTACAAACGAAAATTATGAGATAAATTTACATAGAACATTTCTATTTCCTGGTGTTAGTAATAACTCTTAACATGGAAAAATTCAAGAAGAAAGTACAGGCCTTACGTATTACCATTATTTCTTAAGCTCCAAGGTAAACATACAAAATTAATAGCTTTATCTCTGCTCATAGTCTTGAGAATTTAATGATGAACAGATGCAGCTTGCTGCTGTCGTTCTAACTCTTCAACCAAGTATGCTCTTTGGTGAGGAACTGGTGGCATGTCTGGCATCTGCTGCTTTAGTACATCACTTCCAAACCATTTTGTTAAGTTGACAGGCGACTGTCGATTGGCAGCACCCTGGACTGGCATAAGATGTTGTCTTCCCAAACCAGGCAGGTTACCAAAACTTTCTAAAGGAATTCAATCATGACAGAAAATACATTTATATCACTAGTGAAACAGGAATAACCTTCTACATTACTTCTTTCTCAACCTGAGGTTAATTTTCACACAGTGTTTTCTTTCTGCATTAATTCAACCATAGTGCCATGCTAACCCCAGGAAATACAGATGTACTTATGTTATCATAATGTTACTAATGAGTCAAAATCAAGCACCAGTTGTTAGTGGCACTCCTAACTTAAACCCCATGTCTGCTGTCACTGGAGTTGGAGGTGGGTACCACTGGTATATTTTTGTCTCATACCATGTCAGAAGGGTAATGTCTTGTCACATCTCTGATAACTAAGTCTTTACCATATTGGGAAAGGTGGTATCTTGTCAGGTTTATGAAAACTATAACTCTGCAATGTCAGGAAGAGCAATAACTTGTCAAATCTCTTAAGAACTACTTTACCTTATCAGAAACAGTATCTAAGAACTAGTCCTTTACCTTGTCAGAAAGGGTATACATTGCCAAGTCTCTGAGAACTATTCCCCTCCCATGTCAAAAAGGGTAATATTTTGTACTTTTTTTTTTTACTACTAGCTTCATGTAGCATTAGGTGTGCTTATTTTACCACTAACTTTATAAGATGAATTTTTAATTTCTTGGGGTTTAAGTATGCAAATGAAATTTGACAATTTCAGATGAAGAAAAGTATTTTCAATCTTAACATGAAAATCAATTTGCACTCACAGTAGTCATGACTCTGGCTCCATATGTTCACAGACAAATTTTTTTTGTAAAAATACTTCATTCCAAATTTTATTTTTTTGTCTACAAAAGGCTTGTAATGTTTACTATTACCTTGCCATAGTTTGTGAAGATGCATAAAACACATTAAAAGTTATAGTATGGAAACTGGTGGTTAGTTTAGGGTTACTGTTTCAGTTGCATCAATCAAGCATGTAGTGAGGGAATTAATGGAAGCATCATTATGGTACAGTAACACAGACATTTAGAAATTGGCATTAGTGGAAACATGATTATGGTACAAAGAATTCCTGAAATTAGTATTGTTGCATCAGCGAGGTCACGTGACTAGTATCACGCCACCTCTTTCTAGAAATATCTTGTTCCTTCAAGAATGCTCTAGCATTTACTAGACATGTGTTAGTCTTGTATATATAAGATGTTCACAATGTGATGGGACAACAGGGTAATGAGTAATTGAACTGCAGTCAGAGAGTGTGTAATTGAATGGAGTATTGTTGAAGTCGAGCTCGTGAGACGCGAGTCATAGCGTTTGTTATAGAGCGACTGTTGAAATTAAGTGTATCGTAAAGTTGTATTTGGAAAGAATAAACCAGTTTTATTTAAGAAAGGACTTGTGTTGCTAAAGTTTCGTTGGAACGAAGTTACGGAAAATTAACTAACGAACAGAGACGTAACAGTATTAATGAAAATGTCATTGTTTTACAAATACCTTTAAAGTATTTGACCAGTGCATGTCATGTCTCGCAAGATAATAGCTATCTTGTTCCTATGAGATGGTTTTTATTTGTTACACAGACTATAAACATTATACTTCAGCTATCATCCTTGTAATCCTTTCAGGTCCAGTGTCCTCCTTGAACTACCTTGCCTACCTCCTGACCCTCCAGCAGCAACAACAACAACAGCGAGGACTAGACATCAGACAAGTGCAGGCCCTGGCTCAAGCTCGGGGGATTCATCCATTGGCATTTCAACAACTTCAGCTCTAAAACCTCCTGAATAAATATCAAATGTTTTTTCAGTAAAACTTTATATTTTCTCTATCCTAATTCTATATGCATTTGGGTCAATTTGACCAACCTTGTAACTAAATAAATCTAAATTACCCTTTTTTCTTTCTAGAATGAGTGCAAATTGTAGCATGAAACAACAACTGTTTATCCTAAATAGTTTAAAGCTTGTGATAATATATACCTGTTTATACATAATTTTATTGTTTTATTTCCCTTTAATTCATGTCTAACTAATAATCCTGCCACACAAGTTGTAAATCACTCGGAGAACGTGTACAGTAGAACATCAATTAACAAGCACCTTCAAACAATGGACACCATGCTATTTAGGGCAGACCTTTTCAGCCTCTTTCTTTTTTCTATTATTTGTAATCAAAATAAGTCCTGCAGTATCGGGCACCTCAATATTCCAGATTAAGGGCAGTGTCTTTAGTGTTGTTCTCTAGACAGGTACTTAAAGTGAGCACTAAATTCCAAGCACCCCACAAGAATGTTAACCAATATTCAAACTCTTGCAATGTTTATTAGATCAGCTCCAAACTATATACTGTAATAAATGTTTTCAGAGATTCAAAGTGCAATTTTACTACTCTGGGGCATTCTCTTTGTATCTATAAGCTGATAAATTCCACATCATGTTCTCATGGCTGGGGTCATGTTGACTTAATTTTGTACACGGGTTTTGTTGCTCTTAAGAGTATAATATTACAGTGTCTCATAACAGTTTAATGACACAGCAGTGATTTATTGCTTTCATATTTCTACTTCAGTTATTGACAGTAAAATAAACACGGGAAATAAATTTGAGATGTTTAACAGTTCAAACTCTGAAGAGAAGTGCTTTGAAACTTTGTGACCAATAATACCCATTTTTGATATTAAGAGCAACTTGCTATAGAGGGCAGTTGGAAGTGTGCCCTTAATGTCAAGGTTCGACTGTATCTCACATTACCATATTGAAGATGTAATGCATGAACTGCTAGTGAGCATATCTTGTGAATAAGTTTGATTATATCTCTTTCATTATCTTACTAATACTTTTCTAATTTTTACATGTTAGTTACTTTTAATATAATAAATAAGGAATTGCATAAAAAAACAAGAAATATATTACCTACCTATGGCTTCTTGTTTCTTTGCTGTCAGTTGCTTTTTTTTATATTAATGGTACTTGTGCACTAAATTTTTATTTAATTGAATAACACACCTATGAAAACAGAATAATAACACACACAAAGCAAACAATGTTCTATAATTATTATAATTTAGCTGGCTTTCTAACTATGGCATAAGAGCCTGTTGATCTAAACACTGCAAGAGAAACTTTTAAACTGAAGATGAAATAGGCATTACTCTGTACAGAAGAAAATGTAACATAATACATAATTTGGTAGATTAAAACACTGGCTTTCTGTTGGTTATAAATAATATAGTATAAAAATCAGAGAACTATTGACAATTTGTGAAAACGAAATGTGACAGGTGGGCATGGGAAGTGAATCTAATATTCTAGTGTATGACTCCATAGACAAATAAGATTGAAGACTATAAAAGCTATGCTTTGCCTTAGTAATATCTATATTATAATGAGTAATCTACATTAAATTTCACACTTTTTAGATTGGTGGTAATTAAATTAGGGAAGACCTAGAGAACAAATATAAATTCTTGGATTAGGGGAGATTAAGGATTTTTAAAAAAATATTTCCTCATAAAATCAAGAACTTAAAACTTGTGTATTAAAATTTGATTTATAAGCTATGTTTTGATGTCAAGTTTATTTGTATACAGTGATAATAATGTAGCTTAATTAAATTTTGAATGTGGCTCTGTAAAAAAATTGTGACATGTACACTTCGACCTACTCATAGTGAGAGGGTTAACAATTTCGTGATGCATTTTCAACATAATTATACATCACTAATGCCAATGTCTAAACATCTGCATTACTGTACCATAATAATGCATGTATTATTAGTTGTTTTTAGGCATCTTTATACCATAATGATGTTCCTTTAATACTAATTTCATGATATATTTGTACTATAATCAAGTTTCTACTGATACCAATTTCTAAACATTTGAGTTACTGTTATATAATGGGGTTTCCATGTTTGCTTTTCTTTCAAATTTAAAATGTATACTTCAAAATTTCAAGTTGAATCAAAATTTAGACTAGCTTTTTTTTCATTCTGATCATGGAAGTCAGTAGATTGTTTCAATAACTTACAACCAAGACACCATAATCACAGGAAGTTTACTACCTGAGGGAAACATATACATACCTCGAACATTATGGATGTTCATGTTGTTCTGGAAAAAATTACGAAGCAACATGATGTTAAGATTAGGACTAAGACCAACACTTCCGGGTCTAACCAAGTTATTATTCAGACTGGCAGGTGCACGAGGACCCATACAAAAGGATGTTGGAGGCATGGGAGAAGCATTTAATTGTCGCTGGGCTGCAAGAAGAGCCTGGGCTTGTTGGTGCTGAAGCAAGCGTTGTTGTTCCATCAGTTTAACAAAAGATTCCTTAGCAACTACAAATAAATAAAAATTCATAAAGTAACACACATGACTGTTTGACTGAATTACTCAAACTTTTACCAAAAACAACTTAAGTACTCATCACATAGAAAAAGAAAACAAACAAACTTGATTGTGTTGGGCCTAAGAAAGGTTTCCGAGGACCAGCACCAATCTTGCTTCCTCCTCGACCAAAGTGGTCAGCTGCTGTACTCTGACTTGAAGATCCTTTCAAAATTGGTCGGCCAGGTCCACACAGTGCTTGACTACTGGTTGCAAGTGCTTGCTGTTGTTTTTGTCGTTGATCACCATTAGTAGCATCATTTCTTTGGACTCGTGTTGGAGACAGCTGGCTGCTCACAGTCACAATAGGTACAGTACTGATGTTGAGACTTTTCTTAATGGGAAACACTGCTGGCTGGTTAGCCTTTTCAACAGGTGATTCTAAAAGAATAAAAAAGAAGTAAGGATAATTATTAAAAAGACTGTTAATTGATAAATATATTTGCATAACTACATGAAAGCACTTTATGTAGGTCTTACCATGCATTTTTATCTATTTATTGAAGAGACTTAATAACAAGGTTAACTATTTATTGAAGAGACTTAATAACAAGGTTAAATACTTATTGAAGAGACTTAATAAAAAGGTTAACTACTTATTGAAGAGACTTAATAACAAAGTTAACTACTTATTGAAAAGACTTAATGACAAGGTTAACTATTTATTGGAGAGACTTAATAACATGGTTAACTACTTATTGAAAAGACTTAATAACAAGGTTAACTATTTATTGAAGAGACTTAATAACAAGGTTAACTATTTATTGAAAAGACTTAATAACAAGGTTAACTACTTATTGAAGAGACTTAATAACAAGGTTAACTACTTATTGAAGAGACTTAATAACATGGTTAACTACTTATTGAAGAGACTTAATAACATGGTTAACTACTTATTGAAGAGACTTAATAACATGGTTAACT